TGCATCCTAAACATAATCAGATAAAGGTTTGTTTTAAAAACATGTTTTTTTTTATGACAGAATTTAACTTTAAGATTTAAGCTTAGCTTTTACTTCTTGGGGTGCCTACCCCAAGACTTGTTTTACTTTACTTTTATTAGTGAGCCTTTTGTAAGAGAAGCCTTTTGGGGGAGTTTATGGACATCAGACACTCCAAGCACAGACACGAACACTCAGAGGAGAACTTTTAAGCTTTAGGCTAAATATTTTCTGAATAAATGATAAAATGTCATAGGCTACATGACGCCTATAGGCCTACCTCACACTATCAGTGAATCAGCGCAAAATAAACTCATAAAAAAGAATGAATGAATAAAGGATAACAAGAAACACATAGTACTAACGGGCAGCACCGATCGCTATAACACTAAATAGAGTTTACAGACATAACACTCTATACATTGGAAAACAATTAATGTGAACAGTCTACAATGATGGTGTGAATTTTATTTTATACCTGTAAAAGATGATATTAATATTTTGACTTTTCTGTCATAACTGACTTATTCGATTTCAACTCAAATTCAATTTAATATGTCAATGTCGACTTTTTGTCATAATCATGGCTAAGGCCCGGTTCCATGGGCGAGGCTAGCCCCTTTTTAGGGGTGCTTCAGGACCCCTAAAAAGGAGCTCAGTACCCCTAAAACTCTGAGTAAGAAATGTTGTTATTCTAAAATTTTTGTTCGTCTTTGACAAGGTTAAATAATGTCCAAAACATACTCCGTAGTTTGTGGTTTAAAATGTATGTTGTTGTGTTTTTATACCGCTGTAATACCTATCAACCTCCCTCATATCATTCACATGCAATCCAAATCACAATTCATCATATGCTCACCTGATGGTTCTTGATGTTGGGAAGTGAAATAGGATCCTCGGCGGTGTCCGTCCCAGCTCAGTCCCGGGTTCGTGTCATAGGGCTCTTTGCTCAGTATAAAATAGCTCAATTCACATAAAGATATTTTTAGGAAAAAATCACTCTGAGTCTGATTTTAAGAGGTTTTCGAATCACCAAACTTATGGTTTCGTTTTACTCAAAAATTTTCAGAATGATACAAAGACAATTAATTCAAAAACAGAAAAATAAAAGAAAAGCGTATATAGTCTTCACCTCGAAAAGTTGTGGCCCCGAAAAACAGGAAACATCATCTTTTATATGACTAAATTGGGGCCGTCTCTAAGCATTAGGGGAGGCAGTCCTAGTTCAGCAATAATTCCTTACAAGGTATGCAAAAAGCAGCAAACACTTACACCTTGTTGTTGAGCAAAAAGTCGTTAATCTTCTAAGACTCTACACATATGAGCTATGGCGCTATTCTACTGGTTTTTTCCCCACCTACAGGTGTGAAAACCACATCCTGCCTCTGGCCTCACAATGGCCTCCTAAAAAGCGTTACCTTATCTATACAGAAAGGTCACAGTTGCAACACCTGCTTAGCTTATGCGATGATAGCGCAAAAGAAAGACAATGCAAACTAAAAATAACACTTCAGACAGCAGGGCAAAGTTGCATCTCGAGAGATGCGACTTTCTCCTGCATATCTAACATCTCACATTTGGGACATTTAAGTTGACTCATTAACACAAACTTTTTTACAACATGCATCAGTTGTTTATTCAGTTGTTCCATTTTCCGAATTGTTGTTATCATCTTCCTGCTCTGCCATATCAGGTCGTGCTGCAGGGTCAATGGTCGACTTCTTCTTCCTTTTGTCCTTTTTCTTGGCTTTGTGCAGGGTTTTGGCATGGTCTTTCTGGAGCTGGGCAACTAAGAGATCGTCCATAAACATTTCATATTTATCAGTCCTTTTTGTTTTATATATAAATCCTCCAGGGAAGGCAATGTAAGACATTTATTAGAGAATTTCACATCTTCAATTATAGGCTGCCCAGGCTGTACATCAATGTGTTAACCCTTTGATGCGCAAGCTATGGATACCCCCTCTAATGCACAACATGGGTCTAAAAAGACCCGTATTCATTTCCTATGTTATTTCATGCATGGCTCGGCATTTTTTTGTTCCACCTTTTGAAATCACTTTATTTGAGCATTTTCTATTTCATGATCTATAAATTTCATGATTTATGAATATTCAAAATATCTTGTTTTCAATTATCACAAATTCATATTTTAATATTTCCTAGGTTTTGTGTAAATACATCAAGTTTACACACATGGGTCTAAAATGACCCATCTATGCAAACGTGATAAAACAAAAGAATAAAGAAAACTTTTTGTTAAAATAACCATTGTCACAGTTGTTTAGATCAACACATTTACTGTAACACTTGAAATATGTTTATTGGCCACTTTGTCACGCATAACACACATATAACTGATAACACTGAAATTGAACTGTAGTGTAGTGCAACTGTAGGGGGGATCTCCCCGCCACCAATGTGCAGCATCCACCCGGATGATGCGACAGCAGCCATAGTGCACCAGAACGCCACCACACGACAGCTTATGTGACCGATAGCATTGATTTATGACCACAAATAAAAATTAATATGGAGGTACTGCCCAGGTAAGGTTTCTGCCCAACAGCACCAATATAATACTTGTATATATAACTTTCCATCGCAACTTTTATTTTGTTGACCTAGCTAACATTATAACATAAAATATGTCGACCGCAAGCTAGCTAATAGTATTGGACATGTTTCTCTTTTGCACTAGTAATGGATTTCAAGGTCAAGGTAACCTTAGCCTAAACGTTCAAATTTTAGGCTATATCTAGATGTCTTTCACAAAATATCAAATATTTTCTGTGACAAAAAATGTATTAAATAAAACTTACATGCATGAAATATACAAAAGCAGCCGTGTTGAATTTTGAAATGTGTGGCAGGTGAATAGTTTTCTGCAGTAAATATATTTATACTATTTATAAATATCAAAGGTTCCTATATGGGTCATTTTTGACCCATGTGTGTAAAATTGATGTAGAAATACAAAAACCGTGTTTGTTTATAAAGTAAGAAAGGGAAAATAAAAATAATGATTTGTGGAAATCAAAAACAAGATATTTAATGAATACCTGGATTAATAAATGATAAAATATATTTATTTCAAATATTCAGCAAAGAAACATGAATACGGGTCTTTTTAGACCCATGTTGCGCATTAGAAGGGTAGTGAAACAAAAACGATTTTTATTCGAAAAGTAAGAAAGGAAAAATTTAAATAAGGATTTGTAATGATCTAAAACAAGTTAATTGAGGAATACCTGGAATACTGAATGATGAAATTAATTTCTTGCAAAGATATAGAAAATGAAAACTCAGTCGGGTCTATTTAGACCCATGTTGTGCATCAAAGGGTTAAGGATGAAAATGAAAAAAATCCCCTTCTCTTCTTCTACTTCTCCTCTGTACCTGCACCGCTCAGCACGACCGTCATCCAGCGTGAAACACACGCAGAGTTATGAGAACCCGTTATGTAGTGTTGTGAATCAACTAAGATGCTCCAAAGCTGTGTCTCACACTTCTTTCCTTTTAGCTAGAGTTGTTCTGATTCCGAAACCATATCGGTGAGTACTGGAGTCAGTATCCTGAATCCTGAATCACCATGGTACACCTATAATTAAGTGTTCATTTTCAGACTATTTTAGTCCAGCGGGTCGCCGCCGCTGTGGAGTAGCACAGGACCTGGGTGACTCGTCCCCGAGTGTTGTTCTTTGCTCGATTTTTAACAAAAAGGAAACATTCAAATCGCTTAAAACAGACGCGATAGGCCCTGTCCCAAATGGCACACTCCGGACTTGTGGACTTCCTCAGAGTCCACACTTCGGTGACGTCATGTAGTGCAGACCTATAGGGCCCTTAGCGCGAGTCCGCGAGGGCGCATTGAGAGGTATTTTTGGGACAGACTCGATCGCCACGTCGGAAACAGGAATACTTTGTTGTTATGGACAAGAGCTACAGGTTCGGGGAAATATGCTGCCTATAATTGTTGTTGTGTTTACATATGACTCAGTAAAGCCCTGACATTCTGTTCTATTTATTTAATGAATCATAATGCGATCGTATTATTCAGCTCGCTATTATTAGCCTATGTTTGAGACATCAACCACTGGTCGATGATCATAATGTTTGTATAAACTTGTCATATAAACCGTAATGATAATTACACTTAAATATTTTCTTCTCAGCCATGTTAACAATTGTCCGTGAGCAAAATCTCCTCCCATCCGTTGTCTGATTGGCCTTTCGCAAGGATTCCTGGGTAGTTAAAGTGCGTGGAGCCTGCATCTATGTGGGCTTCGCGGAAGACCGCTTCAAGGGTACAAAGGGGGCGCTGCTGAGCACACTTCAGAGCGTTAAAATGCTAAATGGGACGGCCTACGGACTCGTAGACTCGGCGAGCACGCGCAATTTAAGTCCACGAGACCGAAAGTCCGCATGAAGTGTGCCATTTGGGACAGGGCCATAGCTAATTCGAACGAGTGATGTTCGACGGCGGCATCCATCTTTGTAATGTAGGCTACAAAATCTGTTTCAAAATCCCAGAGCTGTCGTCATCGTGTAAAGCCCGCCCCAACGTTTCTGATTGGTGACTCGATTTCGAAGGATTGGAAATGGGTTTGAATAAATTTCAGAGCAAATCTAAATTTGCCGGAAGTTGTCTGGGTTTTCCCAGGCTAGAAATCTTTATTTTAGTGTGTAAACAATCGTAAAAAACTGTACTAGTGGTCTAAAAAAAAAAAAAAAAAAAAAAATTACAATATTATTGCACAATAGATAGATAGATAGATAGATAGATAGATAGATAGATAGATAGATAGATAGACAGATAGATAAAAATGGCACGTGAATCATATTCAACAATACTATTCTGAAAATATTTTGCGAACTGGTGCTAGATGAAAGAAGACTGAAATAATTAAAATGCAAAGGTCAGGTCCCGCCCACATGCCCCGCCCACCTTTCGCGCTGCGTCCAGCACAGCCTGAAATCAGACCGTGTGCCATTGGGCTGCTTTATATTCTCATCCTCATAGGGCCGCTCATCATCCTGGTTCGCTTTGTCCTAGAAACAAATGCAGCTCTGGACCGACAACTTTATTCTTCATTCGTTTGGTTGTACGTTACACCGAACGAACGTAGGAAAGGACTATTAAGGGATGACCGGTTATTCACAGGAGTGTAGATGGTCTATCGTGTTCATGGCGTATCAGCAAACTGTCATCTTCCGTCCTATCCGTGATGTTTTTACATATCGATGTGTCGTTTGAATGTGCAACAGGCTCCCGCCATATATTCATGCGGTTTATGGAGACGATGGGTCATCAAAGGGAGGATGCATCCTAGTGCCCTACATTTTTTTTGCTTGTGGTTACATTATAGCTATTTATTAATGTTGTTCACTTACGACCATGACTCTTTGAATAGTGATCTTTGATCTGCACACAACTGAACAGCACTTCAGTTTGGCGAAGTCATTTTTGACGAGGTTTGTGCCAGAGTATAAGGGAGTTTAAAATGGCAACTCAAGTTACGGGGAGGAAAAGAATTCCCAACCGGGAGAAACTATCGGCGGAGGATGATGCGCTCAGTCAAATAGCTCGAGAGGTAAGACAGACGAACTGCATTTCACGTGGTACTGTAGCTCTATCATTCTGCGCAAAATGTCGTCCTTTTACAAGTGCTGGAGTTCTTCAAATTTAGTCTGAACTGAAATCCCCAACGACCTTGCTGAATTATGAAAGGGTTTTGTCGGTTGTGCTGTGCGCTGTCCCTTTTTTCCGCATGCAGTACGGAAAAATGAGCACGGATACGATGACGCTTGTCCTTTCATAATGTGAATGGGAAACATTGCACCCCTCCCCTCCCAATTATTAGGGTCTTGTGAATGACAAAAACACATTATTCGTCGCAGTCCGAATCGAGGCATTGATGCTAGCATGACCTACATGATTGCACATCTTCAGTTAATAGCTAGATAAGCATTTCCCCTATACAAATAGCGCTAGTGCAGTTGAGCAACAGCATCATCATGTTTGGATACTTGCACAGCTGCGTGACGTCATGAAGCGAAGATCAAACGAAAATGCTGAGAGAAGGTCCCAGACTGCTGACGTCAGAAACTACTCTGATGCGGCACATCACACCCAGTAAATGGCCCAAATAACCTTAGCGATATATTTTAAAATACACCGAGCTCAAATCGTGCTTATCACTTAAATACTCTGATCCTGCATCGTCCTCCTGTCGTTTGGCTTTCAGTTTGACACAAGCAGAGGTTTATTTCTTTTCTCAAAGGAAAATGTGGGTTATAAATGCAGAAAATAAATGGTGCAGGTATTTAGTCAAGCTTGCTATTTCTTACTTAGGCTATACTCATCAAGTATTATCTAGCCTATTACATATTATAAACAGTTAATGAATGTTGTTATAATTAAGTCATCTTATTTCTAATGTTTCAAAAGATGTTCCATATTAAAAGTCAGTTATGTGTTTCATGAGTTCACACCTACAAATGCTTAGATAGAGTAAAAGAGTAGGCTATGCATATTTTGGCGTGCTGTCCGGGGGAGGGCTCCGAGCTCGGAATGTGTCCCGAACCCAGAGTGCCCCCCGTATCTCTCGTTAGGATAGTAACCAGGCGAGTGTGAGGACACAGGGTTGTGGAGGGATGCAGAAAAAAAAACTGTCTTGGAAAATAGGTGAGTCAGCTACGTATTCATACAGTAGGCCTCTAATGCTGATTGGATAGATCATTTGAACGTGCTCCTCTCGGACTTTGTTAATAAAACATAATTTAATGCCACTTAGTTCTTTACAAAAATATTCAGGTTTTCAGGTTCACCTAAAAACCTCTGTGACCTTTTGGATCAACTGACCACATCTGGAAAGCATTTCCTCACTGAAGAATCCACACATCTTTACAATTTTCCCCACCACGCTTCTTTCTTCTAATTGACCTTAACCTTACCTTGATGCTTAGCTGGTGCCCTTAATAGGAAAAATCTTTCGTTGTAGTATGGAAATGTATCAGGGATATTTAGTCTATGAAAATTAGCTCCAGTTAAGGGATGGAAAAAGTAATGATGCTTTGCATCATTTGCCCTCTGGTCCTTTTGTTCTTGTAAAACTCTGTACCCACCCTCTTTTAAACTTACCATCCCTCTAACAGGATGAATCAGTCCCCGTAGAGTAGAATAAACTCTACATCCGCAAATGTTTTTCCTTTCTTTTTGGTCCTCTTTCTCATTGAAACTGCACAATCAGGCATTGCCCAAGGCAGGGAGAATTGAGTTGAAGTTAAAGGAATAGTTATTACTTTCATTATTTTCACATCTTCATGCCATTCCAAACCCCTATGACTTTCCTTCTTCTGTTTAACACAAAAGTTGATTTTTTTTTTAACTAGCTGCTGTTTTCAATGTAATGAAAATAAATGACAAATGTTGCTAACAGGCTCAACAAAAATGTACCATAAAAGTATCGTTAATGTTGTCCATACGATTTGTGACTTTTATCAGGCAGAAATGTAAGTTGTCACACTGAAAACTTTATCCGCCCTGCCTGTCCAATTCATGAACAATTAAGTTATTATGCACGTGGTTTGTGCTTTCTGGAACTAAAATGATTGAATAACTATGCACTTAGTCTGATCTTTTCAGTGATTCATTTGATCCAGTTCACAAAATCTACTTACACATTCATGGATCATAGCCGATTTGTGCCACACGGGAGGAAAAAAATCTGAATTGTGTCACTTGAACCATGTAATGTAAATGCGGTGTTAGGCAGATCTGTTTAGGCATGAATTAGGTGTGCAGTCTGATAGAGTCATTATCACACTGTGCCACTCAGACAGCTATGTAGCACTTACAAGGTTCATCTGTGATAAGTATAATCAACATCTCTGCCATCTGAGCTATTTTTATACAGCATTAGGGAACAGCAAAACTCTGTAGAAACTTGATCACTTTTCTTTCCTATGTTTGTTCGCAGATGCATTTTGGATTAGGGTGTAGACTTTGTTTCAATGTGGCGCTAGTTAGTTCTTGCCATGACGGCCATGTGAAAGTCTTATAAAGTCTTTCCCACCCATTTTATAGTTCATGCAATGTTTTTATTTAGCCTAAACAATGCTTGTTGAGAATTTATTTGTTAGAAGACTAGTTTCGAAAGTTAAGATTAATAAGTTAACATTTAATACACAACACTAAGATTAACAGTTCATGTTTCAGATACAGATGTGGTTAAAAACATTCTATGTGTAATTATGATTTGTGAATTGACTTCATTACCCAAGATGCATTGAGCAATGGTGAAGGTTTATGTTGGTGACTTTTGGCAACGGCCATCTTGTGAACGATTTGCTGAACAAGCTCGCTGTATTTACTTTGTTTCCTTTTTATTAAACGTCTAAATCGAAGCAACGTCTCGCTTCGTTATTCCCAGTTGATAAGACGAAAAATGTACAACAATGCTTGTTATATTGTCCTAATAGATTCTTCTCAGCATGTTTCTGAGCTTAAACTGCTCACTCTGTTTTATTGTACAGTGATGGTTTGGTCTGCTCATCACTTTACAGGCAGTAAAAATGGTACGAACTAGGGTCGGAGGCATTGCCATGTTCACTGTCAGTCCTAATCAGATTTTTGTGCATATCCGATTGGAATCCGATAATATTTAACAAGTGTGAATGGCAAAAAATCATATGAAATGCGTTAATATGTTAGACGTTGTTTTAGGAAATGTGCTGAAAGTCACTGTAGAAACAAGGTTGTGTTGTTGCAAAGTGCCGGTCGAGCAGAAATAATGGAGACATGTTTTGATACGGCGTAGATGACAATAAAGCCGTGTATACCAGCCTGCTACATTTCTGCTGTTGCATCAGAAGAGGTAGTAGTCCCGCGTGATGGCTGTACCGTCATGTTGTAGATAAGACCACATCTGTATTGCAAATCCCTCCACGTTGATGTTGTTGTTGTTTTTGGAGTATGCCTACCAAGGCAATGTCATAAAAACCAAAGCAGATATTCCGGAAAACCAAAGTGCACCACAGGACACACAGTCTGAACAGTTGCCAAACACAGTGAGGACAGTCAATAATTTAGATTCCAATCGGATACACAAATAATCGGATTTGGACTGACAGTATGAACATAGCCTAAGGTCCTTTATTGGGCCCAGGGGATAGGGGTCCACCCATAAAAGTTGATAGCTGATGCCTCAATTAAACAAAACAGCCAGTGCAGAAACAAAACTTTTTTTCTGGAAATTTACTGTACAATTACCTGAATGTCAATATTGTTTTTATTGACATTCCCCAAAAATCATTACATTAATATATATATATATTTTTTAATTATGAGCCCCTATAAATTAATTCTGATGTTTCTTTTTGGTACTCATTATTATGGATCCAGCAGAATGGAGAGAAATTGAGAATTAAGTGAATGCAATCTGAACTCTATGACCGACCTCTTTCCAAGTGAAATATCTTTACTGTGTCTTAGTTGCACAGAAGCAGGAATCACATCTCATGATCCAAATTTAACATCTACCTCAGTCACAGCATGTGGAGTCCATTGGAACTTTGGACTCCATTCACATTCGACTCTTTTTCCACTTACTGCCCTTGTATTTTCCAACTGCTGAGACAGGAAGCAGAAAGCCTTTAAGGCTGTACGTCTTAGGCTTTGTTCCAAATGGCACTCTTGATATGTACTTATGTTGCAGACCTGCCATGGCTCGTGTGCCTGTGAGACAGTAGAACATCCCATTGGATATTTTAGGGATTTCGTGACCGCCCACTTTGCAGAAGCACTAATGCAGGCTCCAGCAAAACTTTGGTGACGTTATTTTGCATAAACTGTCCAGTAAAGTGTGGATTTTGAAGTAGACCGCAAAGGTTTAGCATGACATTTGGGACCTTGTGAAGGCTTTTGACAGTTATTAATGCAAAAAGGTTGTGATTTTAACTCTTACACATATGCGACTAAATGATGTCTATCATTAGCTACTGGCTAAGAAGTAGTTTAACATAGATATGTTTTCACGTGCCTACACTCAAACACTGACTGAGTGTTTGAGAGTTTCTCTCTCTGTCTCCATGTCTTTACAGCACCGTGAGTGAACTTTTCCTATTCACAGCGTATTTGACACACTCCTGGCTCGGCTGCGAGTGCTCTGTGTTTCTCTCACACACAAGCAAAGAGAGAGAAAGCAAGAGAGTCTTATATACCACATACTAATGCACAACTACATAATATTCTTTCTTTTTTCATGTCAAAAAGTAAAATCAAAAATTGTCATAATTTGTTCAGAATTATTCAGCCTTTAAAGTCACCATGAAATCAAAATTGGAAGTTTTTTGGCTTTTGGTATGAATATGTTAGCCATTACTGTTATCTATAAGCTAGTGTGACTGTGCTCAAAAACAATGACAGTCTCTCTCAAAACAGGAAGTCTTTCACTTCCGCCAATATGGATCAATGATGTCACACGAACCTCCGTAGGGCACACAGTCAGCTCCGGTCCAGAGACATGATATCTCAGAGCGGATCGTATGCACGAGTCCGTGCAGACCACAAAACAAACCCATTTGAATTCTG